GTTTTTACTCCATGTCTGAAAAGTAAAACTTTTACCTGTGTCATTTAGTCATAAAAGTGGTCACTTTTGTGACGTTTGCAGATAAAATAATTTTTTTACTGTATATCGTTACCCGAATTTATAGATTTTTGATAATACAATTGCAAAATATTTTTGCTTTTTGTTTATTACATATTTACTGCTGTGCTAAATAATATCCAATGCTCGTTAGTTGTGGTTTTTTCTCAATAAGGCCATGACCTCCAAAACATTGGAAAATAAAAAGATGTGTTCATTATTATTATTTCGGAATTATTAGTTCTGGAATGTTTAATAACTGTCATACACTTTATTAAATTCAAGTCTCAAATCGATTTAAAAATGCTAAATTATCAATCTTTTAGGTGGACGGTGTCGAAGCTTTTCCTTCGGAAGAGGCGGTTCCGCAACATTTTGCGGATCAAGATGATTCATCTGTTGAACGAAAATTAGAAACAGATTTAGCTACTAGCGAATTATCTAGTTGTTTTGATGATAAACATAATTTTGATTTAACGAAATATATTAACGAGAATGTATCCGTTGAAAATAGAAAAGTTAGATCGGTGGGTAAAAAAATTGATAAACAGGCTCAAAAATATATAATTGAAGATAAAAATGATAATTTAGATACAAATGATGACGTTGATGTTGAAACTGTATTTGAAGGTGCTAGTCTTCCTGTATTAGAGGCAAATGATGCTTTTAGTCTTTTAGAACAATTCGAAGCATCGGAAAAGCCACGTTTACCTAATACTAAATGTAACGAGAATTTGAGTAGTGATTTTGGATTTAGTAGTAGTTTAGTAAATAATCTTGAAATGGATGCTAATCAAATTTCAAGTAGTTCGATCGAAATATTCGATAAAATTCCAAAAGCGCCCATCAATATATTTGAAGAGGACGTTAGTTTGTTCGAGAAAGATTTAGAAACTGTTAAAGGCGAGCCTCAATCAGGAAGTATTGAAAAGAAAGACTTTAATAAACAAGAACAAGAAAAAAGTAGAAATGAAGAAGTTACAACTAAGCAAGAAACAAAAATTACGAAACCACACACTGCCGAATTAAACATTTCGCATAATTACACTAAAAACAAACAGATATTAGACGCACTACCTCAAGAGTTAATTGCACGAATCAACGAATCAGGGAAACGGAAAACTATAACTGTTATTCCTCCAATTCCAACCAAAAAACGGGGCACTTCGCGTTCTGTGGAATCAGTATCAATTCATCGTCACAAAATTTTAAAAGTGGGTAATGGACAAGTGCATTTCGATCATGATTATTGTGCCACTCCATCTCCTTACCCTAAGGAACCTCAAAAAGACTCAGGTTTTCAGTCATCCGAAGAGGATGACCGTTCTATAATAAGAAATCAACCGACTGTCAAAACGCCCGATGGTAAACTTATGGTGTCTCTTCTTAAAGTGAACACTATACGTGGTAATAATCATAATCAAAAGAAAAAATTGAATCTAGAAGAGTACAAAAAGAGACGTTTGATCAATTCGAATGCAACGTCTCAGAGTAATTCGCCGGCTAGTAGTACGTGTAGTTCGCCTTTACCTGAAGACGAGAATCTGAAACGTCTCAAACATCAAGAGAAGTTGATGAAAATGGCTGCTGATTTGTTAAACACTCCGGCAAAATCGACAAAGGGCGACGTCATTCTTCCTACTATTATCAAACCTGTGGTTCAAAATCCTCCACCGCAGAGAATTGTCGTTCCGCAAAAAATAACACCTCCTCCTGACTTAGAAGTGAAGACGTATGTCAGTATTGGTACCAACACGGATATTTCGAGTATCAATTGTAGTAAAACGATCCTAGCTTCTACTCAACAATTAGAAGAAATCAAGCCATTGCTGCAAAAAGTTAGTGATAAAATTAACAGTAATTCGTTCATTACATCGCTTATAGAAAATATTCCGAAAGTCAAGACAAGAACTACTGCCTTTGTTAAGTCTGAAAATCAGGAGGTAATTAGAGAGGATAAAATTATTCACTATTTGAAAAAAGATAGAGAGCCGGTAAAAACGGTGAATGTAGGGTTGCAAACAGATTTTGATGAAGAAGTGAATGATGATGTGGAATCTAGATACAGGCGAAGGATAGATAAAAGTCCGAGTGTCTCGTCTGGTGGGAGTTCACGGTCTCGACAACGCAGGTAATTGAATTTTTGTTTTTAAACTGCTTTTATTTGAATTATGAATGCTTGATTGAATGATTAATGCTTCTTGCAATTCTTTTATATGGTATTGTTTCCCGATTGTTTTAGTATGTTTATGCACAAATTAATTTTGTATATTGTACAACTTTTAAATGAAAACAAAAAACAAAAATCGTTGAAAAAGGATTTTTTTCCATTTAAACCTCATAACGAAATAAATAACTTTGTTTTTTGACGAAGGTTTGAGTAGGGCTATTATAGTGAAATATTATTATTTGTTGCATTTGTTAATTTCTACTCAGATATTTAATTAATTTTTATTCAGTGTCCGATTTTTCAATTTTTGTAATTATTTTTGTAAAAGACAACACAAAGCTGTCATTACAATGTTGGATAGCAGTGTTCCTATAGCACAAAGTATTTTTGTTATTCTTTGTCGGATTTCAACGAATTTTTGTTTGGGTTAAAGATTGAACTTTGCAGAACATTGTAATAAAATTCAATAACATTTCTAGTTTTGTCTTGTAAATGTTATACGTAAAAGACGAGGTCACTGTTTTTTTACTTTTAATTTTAATTCTTGAGACATGAAATAAACCTTCAAAAAAATCATTACATTTCCAATTTCTTCGTATTAAGTACCTATGTGCCAAAACGTCAAAATAGACGCATGGAAGTTTGTAGTAATTAACCGTTTTACTTGTTGTGATTCTTTGAAGTTCCAGGTTTTTCAGATTTTTTGTGTTCAAAGACGTAATTGTGCTCTTTTGGTAACATAAGCAATAATTTTCGGTTTAACTACCTTTTTATGTAACCTACTTTCCGAACGAATATTTAGTAACATTAGAAAAACAACGCCTTTTTCATTCTTTCGTATCTCTGAGACACGAGAAGATAAAATTTTGAAACAAATTGGTCCTTATTCAGAAAAGAACGGGCAATAATCTGAAATGACTAAAAACTTTTTTGTCTCTGTTGCACACTATAGCTCTGTAGAAAAAAAGTAAAAACAGTGCTCTCGTCTTTTAGGTAATACATTTACAAGACAAAACTAGAAATGTTATTGAATTAAATTCCAATATTCTGCAAAGTTCGTTCTTTAAGCCGAACCAAAATTCATCAAAATTCGACAAAGAATAACAAAATCTTACAATGTGAAAAATCGCAAAATTTTAGGTGTCCGGTTAATTTTGGAGGCCAGTGTATATTAACTTGCTGGTCTTCATTTAAGTATTTACATTTCCATCTGTGTATATTTATTCTCTAAGTTTTTATTTATTCGACTTCTTGATAACACAATACTTTCGATATCTCGATTCTTCGATACCACGACACTTTCGATACCACGATACTTTAGTAAGTATCGTACCTTCAAGGTATCGCCCAGGCCTAGTAAAAAGAAGTACCTATGCATTAAGAAAATCAAAATTGAAAATATTTTAATTAAAAGAGAGTCAATTTAAGCTAAGTTTTTTCTATGATTCATCTATGATTTTTTTCTTGTTAAAAATTTATCTGGTATGGATCATTGAGTTACTTTTGCTAATAATTAATAGCTTTGCACTTTTCTAGATGGCCATTTTGAATAGTTTGTTTTTCTTGTAGAAGACGCAGTAGTTCGAGTTCTTCACGTAGTTCACATAGTTCATTTTCTTCATCCTCATCCACTTCTTTTAGGTAAGTATCAGAAAAAGAATTAGGAGGAATGGATTAAATATATGTTCGCACAGATCGTCTCGTTCACGATCAAGATCCATTTCTCCGAAACGTCAACGGCAATATAGCGCTGAACGTTTAAGAGAAGTCGAAGAACGTAGAGTTATATATGTGGGCCGTATAAGTAAAGGCACCACCAAAGAAGATTTACGAAGACGATTTATAACATTCGGGCCTATTACGAATGTTAGTCTTCATTTTCGCGACTATGGGTATGTTTTTTAAATTTTCTCGTGTTCAAATTTTCATCGTATGTTTTAGGGATAATTATGGATTTGTTACTTTCGCTAATAAGGAAGACGCCTATGAAGCAGTTGAGCACGGCAATGACGGACATGTTTACCCTAAGTATGATTTGAGTTTTGGTGGTCGAAGAATATTTTGTAAGACTTCGTATTCTGATTTAGGTAAGGGACATTTTAGTTTTTGAACTGAGTTTAATCAAGCTTTTTTTAGATAATATGCGAGACGACGATTACAATTATTATACATCTCGCGCCCCTGAAAATTCGTTTGATGCTTTGTTAAGGGCAGCACAAGAAAAAATACGTAAACGGAAGCCTTGACAAGCCTTGCGGTTTAGTGTTAAATTTCATAAGTTAATAATTCAATGCATTTTTTTATTGATTCGATTGTATTTTATTCTGTAAGCTGTAGTTTCGATTGTTATAGCAAAGATAATGGTAATATAAGCAACCTTTTTTTATTCTTTTAAATATGTTCGACTTTATACTAAGTAGTCGGTTTTAATCATAAAAACACAACAAAACTGACTGATTTTTTAAAGTGAATTTGTGATTGCATGATTGCAGGTATTGTATTTTATTCAATTTTGTTTAAATATAAATTTAAGTTGGGTTTGTTAAAAATAGGTAAATTTGAAACAATTGTAATTGGTTAAAACCGACGTTTTATTGTTGAATATGTTTCCCACTTTGGGCTGTGTATTTTGTATTTATGAATATTTTGTTACAGTTTAATAAAAGTTAACAAAGCTTATATTTTTTTATTGATACATATTCAATCAGCGTAATTTTTAATTTTAAAAATTTTATAATATCCAATCATCGTGATCTCTCGCGAAAAAGTTGTAAAAAACTCATGATTGTGCGGTGAAATAATTAGGACAAGTTTCATAATCGAATTAAAGGGACTTTAAACTTAATATTGGTTTAGAATGTGCTGATTACTACAATAAAGTCTGTTTTTTTAAAAGGAAATATCAGTCTTAACCACTAGCCAATTCCTTTATAGTAATTTTAATAATGGAAGTTAGCAGTTACCGTTTTTGATTTAATTTGAAAACAATGTCATTAAACCTCAGCAAAAAATCGTTTAATAGGAAATTTTCTGACGGAAATACAAAAACAGAGACAAATTCGAAACTGCTAATAGTTTTTGGAAATTTGGAGACGGAAAGTGCGCAAGCTGAAGTTAGAAAGAGATTACCGTTTAAATATAGACATAGTTTGTGATGGAGGTTTGCTAAACTTTCTCTAATTTTTAGCAAGAAATAGACGAGAAAACAAAATAAACATGAATAAGAAAGAACGCAATTAAATTAGTGTCTGGTTGCACCGTTTTTGACGAACTAAATTACACATTTATTGGTAATCCGCATAATACCTACCTGATTGATTTTTTTGAAAAATAGCTTTATTTAGTAGACACCCTTTTTCATTAAAGCTTTGTAGCAAAAAGCTCACTTTTGATTTTGCCCACAACATTGTTCTTACTTGCAGTGTGTTGTGTGTTTTCATCAATATTGGCAATATTATTAGCACTGAATAATGTTTTTAGAGATTAGGTAGTGATGTCTGTCCTCAGGTGTTTGATTTCAACGCTTTCAAAGAGCAAACAAGCACACATAATTCATAAATAAAAGCAAAATTTTGACATCTCAACAGAAAAATATAACCATAATTTTTTAACAAAATTTCTAAGGTCAAAACCAAAAACCAGACATTTGTGGCTTTGTTTTACCATTTTTTTCACTAAAATTTTGACTTGGTCATTTTCATTTAAATAAAAAACAGACTTTATTTGTGTTTGTAGTTTTGAACGCGCGCTTTAATGTTAGGTTGGTATCATTGTTTGGAAATTGGCGCTGTCTCGCTGTCATAGCTGTCAAGTGATGAAGTGATCAGCTGGTAACTGCAAATAATTATTTCGTTATTGTTGTTAAAAATTGTGTTCGCTAATGAAAACTTGTTATTTATTGTATCCTAAGTGAAAGCTTACAAAATTAATGACTTGGTAATTTGTAGTGTGATATAAAGTGTTGTGTTTCTTTCCGGTAATTATTATTTACAGGTTTTTATAATTTTTTTACTATTTCTATGTAATCTTTTTTTTGAAGCCATGGCGGCATTGTTTTACGTTAGAATATAAATTAAGAGCAATTACCTAAAGATATTATCAAGTGTGTAAATATTAGTTTATTTGTTATGCTCACAAAACTGTTTGTATCTTTAAAAGTGAGGTTATAGTCTGTAACAGGTAGCTGACCTTATTTGGGAATCATAAATAAAGCTACTGTTTATTGTTAAATCATACAATGATCGACATATATTTACAAAATTAAATGGTTTCGAACAACCTTTTCAAAGCATTAAATTAAAAAAAATATATTGAAAGTAAGTACAGGAGATTAGGTGGTTTCGATGAGCCAAGATGAATTTGTAATCACATGATTCATAAGTTAAAATTATCATTTATTAGTAATTTTACACAAGTTTTTTGTCAAAGTCATCATATTTCAACAAATAGCTCACCCCTTTTTTGAATATTTTTTCATGAAAAGTATTGAAAAAAGGGGTGAAACGACCTCTTAGATTATTATTCCATTTGATTGGTACAATTCGCTTTTTAATGAAATTTTGTCTGGATGTGGGCCAAGTGTATTTGGTGTTCTATATTAATAAACTGCGTGTTTTTTAAGTGGTAGGTCATATAAAATCGTGAGTAGATGTCACTTCTGTGTTTAGTTTATTGTTCTATCAGGTTTAAACTAGTGGTGAATTATTAAAAAAATATGTATTTTTCATATAAACAAGGTATTCGTTCTGTTATGTCAAATTTTGACTCTTGCTTTACAATATTAACACAGGGTGTCAATATTGAAATTTTTTTTGTTTATTTATGTTTAATTTTTTTTAGTTAAACGATTATTAAATTATGTATCTTGAAGCATTGAATTAAAATGTTTTCCAATTAACTAATTTTTGTTGACGCAATAATTTTTTCCATTACATAAACGATCGAATTAGATCGTTAGATAGTTAATCACACAATTTTATTTTATTAATATTTAATTGTGTCATAATAGTCCACACGATTTACTACACTGTATTATTGGTTGCCTACACCAGAGCCACATAAATTATAAATTATAGTTTTTTTATACATCATGAAATATGTAAAAATATGCATAAAATGTTTGTGAAAACATGTCAAACTTTATATTTGGCTTGAAGCAATCATGTCTATTGTTATGGTGTATGGTATGTTATGGTGTATGGTCACCCTTAATTTTTAGGCATTTTATGTAAACAAATGCCAAAGTTGCACTGAAGCAATAATTATGCTTTTTCTGCACTAAAAATACAAAAACTTATTACATACGTGAACCAATTGAGTGAGAGTTGTAATGGTTCTTGGGACTTTTATAATGTTACCATTTAATGTAAAAATTGCGTTTGTAATTTAATGTTTTAATTATTTTGTCTACCATAATTATTAGTAAACTTTAGAACATGGCTTGAATAACTTTTAACAGATTAATTAGTGAGTGCACAATAGTGCAGTTTAAGCGCATTAGTAGTAGAATAATTGTTGCAATTAATAGAATGAGAATGTCAATCAGGCTCGCTTAAACTTCCATATACTAGGTGAATAAAAAGTATGGAACCAAACGTTTTTTGCTTAAACTATTTATTTTTTGAAAAAACTAATTGATGAGTGCTAAAGTACTATAAAAATGTGATGATTTAACAACAATAAAATTTTTCGAAATTTCCTTTTGTTTTTGAGTTATACAAAAAAAAATATTTTTTTTAAATGGCAACCCACTATAAAAAGCTATACTCTAAGGATTACAACTATCTGCTTTATTTTTAATTTTTTCAAAAAAATTTTTTCACATAAATTGCAATTTTGACAAAAAAAATGCATAACTCAAAAACAAAACAAAATTTCGTTCTGAAATTACGATCACATTTTTTATATTACTTTAATTTATATTAATTATTATTTTCCGGAGGCAAATGATTAAAAATAAAACCGCTTGGTTCCATACTTTATATTCACCCTGTATGTACGTCATACATGGACACACAATAATAGTGTTTTATTTATAATATTACTCGTATAATAGTTCGACGAATTTGAGTGTAAATCGGACGCTTTATTTCACGAGTGGATTTATCATTCACGAGGTGGAATAAAGCGTCCGATTTACACGAAGATGAGTTGAATACAACATTTTATTCTTCGAATTAGACTCAACAAGTTGCTTTAAATCTGTTAAAAATAATCTGACGTTTTGTATTAAGAAATGCTAGACAGTTGTTAAAACTTCCTTACACAGGAGAAAAACAGTAAATTTTGACAGTATTGAAGAATAAATTCTAAATTGTTTTTTTTTACTTTATTTAATAAAAACGCTTCTTCAAGAAAGTGTTAATTTTTTTCTACAATTCCCATCATTCAGATCAAAGTCCAAACCAATAGAAAAAGTTTTTCTGCAAAAAAAAATACTAAAATACTGACGTTTGTTTAAACACTAAGAATTTACAGTTATTTTTTACAAAAAAGGAAGATCCCATTTTGCCGATAAAATGCATACAAGTAATATGTTATACTCACTGGACACGCAATACCATTTGTTTAGAGAGCAAATTTAAATGTCATTATTTGATTTGATATGAAATTTTAATTTGAATACATAATGCAATTTCATAGCAAATAAAAAAATAAAATACTTTTAGTAAATAAACCTTCGTAAATAAAAACTCTTCGGATACATTTACGAGTATTTAATCAAAAAAATATATTTTTTTGTCCAGCCGGATTAAAACATGTTATTTTTAAAAGATAAAATTGATGTTTATAACTACGAAAAAAATATATCCTTTAAGGCAAGTAACCAGACCCCCCCAGCATCTACAAGGATGGTTTTAAAAGTACGGTTTAGACAGTTTCCTGTATATTCATTTGCATTATCTAAATTTAAAAATTTTGATACTTCTTGAGAGACAATAATTTAAACACTCTGTCTTGATATTTAATAAAAGATCAACTTTCTTTATATTTTTTTTAACGAAGCAAGCGATATTTTCTGTATGAATCAAAAAAAAATTTCCTATAACAACGCGAAATAGCTTTCTTGTTTTTGCTGTAAGGACTTTGTACTAGAAAACCATTTAACTTCTTTAAAATCTTCTCTTTTTTTAAGTGGACTAATTTGTCACGTCACAACCATCGCCGTCTCCATAGAAATAATCCTTTTCTCGCCTGGGCATTTTTTGAGTTCAACTGATTCCCGTTGGCGCTTTAATCTGGGGAAATTTTTTGACATATCCATTTTTTTTAGCTTAAAGGGTTCAACCTCATAATATCAATTCTCCCTGGCGTATCTGATTTTATTGTATCTTTCCTTCCCAGCTCTTATTAATTGCGTTATTTTTTGTTAATAATTCAAAATCATTCAGTTTATCCTTAGTAACCCGGGTAACTAAGAAAAAATCGGAATCACTGCCCCTTTTTACAAAATGCCCAGGCGGGATATTGATACATTTGATTAAGGAGGCGCTGGACAAAATATGCTAGGCTTATTATTATTCCGAAGATTACAACTACCTAAAAGACAATGTTATAAATATCCAACTTTAATTAGGCAACTGTAAAAACGCACTTTTATCATCATGCATTTCGAGTCTGAAGCATATTTCAAGAAATTTCCGATGTGTTTACTCGTTTTTTTTTTTAGAAAAAAGGCG